AGTTGCACGGCTGCTGGGTTGCAGGAGGATCGTTTCACGTTAGCCAGCATGAGATGATACCCTCTAAAACTATAATCGCACATCTATCGGGAGTGAGAGTGAACATTTTCCTAAGTTAGGAGCCAAATGCAGTATGGCTTTAAGTTGTCTGCATGTTAATTGCCCAGTTAAAGTGTGTTTGCATGTTCTCTTCACATACTAATGTTCTGTAGTTCCGTGCCGATTATTTTTGACGTGGATTTGCCCAGTTTGATTTACATTTTTTTTAGAAAAATGAACTTTATTGATCTGAAGTCTTTTGTGAGGAAGCCGTTTCTCTGCTCAGCTGTCTCCCCAGTGCCTGGCACAGCTTCGGGCACGGTGCCTTGTGTACTCAAGGATTTGTCAATCAGAGAAGTGGGGCCTTGATTGTTGTTGAGTGTGGTCGAATGCATTCCAACTCATAGCAGCCCCGTGTGACAGAGTTGCCCCATGTGGCTTCCTAGGTTGTAAACTTTAGGGGAGCAGATCACCGGGGCAGGTTCAAACTGCCAGGCTCTCGGCCAGCAGCAGGGCGCAAGTGTAACTTGACTAAAGCTGTGCGGTTGCCACGTTGCAAAGCTGGTGTTTGAGCAGGAGGAGAACTTCACAATGCTTATTTTTCCTGAAGGTCTTATTCTAACCCTGACCCTCTGTCCTCGCCTTAGGGAAGCATGGCCACAGCTACCTTGCCCGAGAGCGGCTCTGCCCTCGCCCTGCGAGCACTGGGCTGGGGCTCCCTGTACGCCTGGTGTGGAGTCGGACTGATGAGCTTTGCAGTCTGGAAAGCCTTAGGAGTTCACAGTGTGAGTAACAGCTGCCTTGTGATGTGTGTCTGGAACGTTGGTTCTGCTTCCCGCATGCTACATCTTCCTTATTTTCAAATTTGTGTGCAGTCTGGTCCCTGTTCTAGAAAATGATGACAGTGAATTTGACTAAATTTGACTAGTAACTAGGCAACTTCTCATTACTAATAAATCATGTAAGTAACTAATTAAATATTTTGGGGGGTGAAACTTCAAATATAATTAAGGATTAATTCATAGGTAAAAGAGCTCTTGTGGTGTAGTGGATAAGGCATTTGGCTGCTAACCAGAAGGTCAGTGGTTCAAACCCACCAGCTGCTCTGTGGAAGGAAGATGAAGCAATCTACTTCCGTAAAGATTTATAGCCTCAGAAACCCAATGGAGGTCGCTATGAGTCAGAATGCACTCAGTGGCAGTGTGGTTGGTGTTTTTGTGTGGAATTCACTGGTAAGTCCCTACGTGGTGAAAACAATTTGCACGCTGTCATTAAAATACAGGCTGGCCATTCAAACCCACCCAGCTGCCCTGTGATCAGCTTCTGCACAGACCACAGCCAAGAGAACTCTACGGAGCAGTTCTGCCCAGTAACACATAGGGACGTGATGATTCACAATTGACTCAACGGTGATGGGGTAATTTTGTATAATTCATAGGGCATGCTATTGTGTGATGTCAATTCTGACTCAATTGACATTGGCTACTTATTTAATAAAATTATTTAATATGTATCAACTTCCTATGCTGTTTGACATTCCTGTATATAAGCATCTTTGTAAAATATTTAAAGCATTTAAAAATTATTATTTAAATTTTGAATGTATTATTATCACATTCGGGAAAATTCTAGAAATATGTACGTGTATGTTTGTATGAATGTATGTATATAGGTAAGAAGTGGTGGTTGGAATGGGTGGTGGCAGCGGAGTTGGTGCACAGAGGTTGTGCGTATACTCTGAAGGTAGAGTTCAACAAGTGTTGGATACAGAGTGGATGCAGAAAGTGAGAGAAAAAGTGGAATTAGGAATATCGCCAAGGACTGTCATACATTGCTGGCGGGACTGTCAAATGATACAACTGCTCTGGAAAGCAGTATAGCGATTCTGTAAAAAGCTGGAATTAGAAATACCATTTGACCTAGCAATCCCACTACTAGGTATATATTCTATAGAAGTGAGAGCCAGGACAACACAGAGTTTTGCACACCCATGTTCATCGCAGCACTATTTACGATAGCAAAAAGATGGAAACAACCTAGGTGCCCATTAGAAGAATGAATGACCAAACTATGGTACATGCAGACAGTGGATGCTATGCAACACTAAAGAATAATGTAGAATCTGCAAAACACCACATAACATGGATGAACTTGGAGGACATTATGCTGAGTGAAATAAGTCAGTCACAGAAGGACAAATACATTACCAGTTAATTATTGTAAAAAGTCAAGGAAAGGTTTATATATGGAAGGAAACTGTTGGTTGGTTACCAGGGGAGGGAGGGGAGAAGAGGGAACACTGCAAAAAAAAAAAAAAAAAATGCATTGACCTGTGTCACTTTAGGAGCTCTGGTGGTGTAGTGCCTAAGGCATTTGACTGCTAACCAGAAGCTGGTGGTTCAAACCCACCAGCCACTTCTCGGAAGGAGGGTTGGGCAATTTATTTCCATAGCGATACCATCTTGGAAACCCAAGGAGGGGTCACTATGAGTCTGGTCTGACTCGACGGCAGTGAGATATCACTTTAGTTTTGTGTATTTCACTGTACATAAATTATATTTCAATAAAATGTATTTTTTTTACGAAAAGAATATTGCCAAGGCTTTTGGCCTGATGACTGGAAAATGGATGGAGAGGAGCTGGTGTTCAGGGGTAATTTCAGAAGCTCATTGTGGACCTGCAAGTTTGAGACGTCTGCCAGACAACCAAGTGGAGATTCAAGTTAAGATGCAGAAGTTTGGAATTCCAAGGAGTGGGGCAAGGTGAAGCTGTAAGTGAGGCTCACTCATCAACACAAAGTCTTTAAAGCCATGAGAACAGGGGTTCACCAAGGCGGTGAGTGTAGAGCAGGAGGAGAAGAGGCTGGAGGCAGGAGCGCTGGGGCATTCCTGAGGTTGGGGGAGGAGGACAGAGGGGCAAAGGGAGTCTGCCTTCCAAAGATCGAGGGAAAGCACAGAAGGAAACACACATGTCCTGGAAGCCACGTAAAGAAGGCTTTTCCAGGAGGCGAGATTAACTGTGTCCTACGCTGGGGAGGGTCACATGAGATAAGAGCCGACCAATTCATTGTGCTTAGTGGTGTGGTGGCCACTGGTGAAATGACAGGACAAGGCCTGAGTAGAATGGATTGAAGAGAATGGAAGGAGAGAGACAGGAGGCCCTATGTGTAGACAAGGCTTGACTCACTGTGAAGTGACATGTATGCATACATACACACACATATTTCTTAGATTTTCCCAAATGTAGTAATAATACATTCAAAATTTAAGTAATTTTTAAATGCTTTAAATATCTTACAAAGATGCTTATATACATGGATGTCAAACAGCATACGAAGTAGATATATGTTAAATAATTTCATTAAATAAGTAGCCAATGTCAGTTTACATAGAGCCTACACATCACTGAGGCAGAATCGACATCACACAACGGCATGACCTATGAATTATGAAAAATAACCCCATTCCTGTTGAGTCGATTGTGAAGCATCACGTCCCCGTGTGTTACTGGGCAGAACTGCTCCGTAGGGTTCTCTTGGCTAGAGTGGCATCTGGAGGGGGTTTTGTTTTTGCTCTAAGTTTGTGTGCTGATGGAGGGGCCTGGGAGCCCTAGGGGGTTGGTGGTGTGAGGTGAGCAGGGGACTTGCTGGAGCAGCATCCATGGCCTTAGTGAGCTTTCCCTCAGCTCGTTGTGAACTAGACACAGACATCCCTGTCCTTATCAACACAGATGGTGCTTTGCTCCTGGCTGAGTAACCTTTCATTTTACAGTGACTTTGCTGGTCACTGTTTATCATGATAAAGTAGGGACTGCTCAGAAAAGTTAGAAAACTTGTGACTCAAGATTTTTGTGGTTTCCCGTTTTTTGACCAAAACAAAATCTCTTCTCCGTTTCCAGCACTGTAGCAGCCGTTGTAGACACAGCAGAATGTTCCATCCTCACCGTAACTGGGAAGCAGATATTAGTACCCCCAGGCTACAGATGACAGAGGTGGGACTCAGAGAGCTTAGGCTGCTCAGCTGGCTCACAGAGCTGGTACTGGCAGAGCCGAGACAAACCCCGATGTGACAGTTTTCAGAAGCTAGGCTTTGTCCAGCTTTACTCCCTGACCTAAGATGTGAACTGAAGGAGTAGATGCAAGGGGCCAGCGTGAAGGGGAGGAGGTAATGAACTTGGTTTTGATTGTGACCCGGTCCCACAGTTCTTGAAAACTTGGCAGGTTTTCCTGGGTGTCTTCAGTGTAGGCCTCTCTCCCACATCAGAATCAACATCACTGGAGCATATGACTGGCCATTCTTTCCTCACTAAACGAGGAGACCTCCTTTCAGCACATGATATACAGTGGAAAAATGTTTCAGACGTGATAGAAAATGAAAAACGGTTCATATCTATAGGTAATAAGATAGTTATTTGAAAACAAAAGTGAGAGAAAACTGGGAAGAAGGATGAATGGTGACATATGAATGAATTATGAGCGTACGGATGAATTACAAGGAGCTCTGGTGGTGTAGTGCCGAATGCATTTGACAGCTAACTGGAAAGTTGGTGGTTCAAACCCACCAGCCACTCCCTGGAAGGCAGATTGGGCAGTCTACTTCCATAAAGATTTACTGCCTCGGAAACCCAGTGGGGGTCACTGTGTGTCGGGATCAACTCAATGGCAGTGAGTTTGGGTGAATTCTTCCCTTTACTTTTCCGTGTATCTTCCATGCTACATGTGTGTTCCATGCTACTTTAACAGTAAAGATATGAGCTTCTGAAAATGGCACTGGGTTTTATTTTTACTGATTGACACTGGTAAATAAAGCACAGCTGCCTGAGGTCACAAAATGTCCTTGACAACATACGTTATCTACTTGAGGGGTCATGCGAATGTCTGGTAATAAAGTTACTAAGCTTTTAGTTTATCTAAAAATGACTGACTGTTAGCACTTTATGCCAACTACATGGAATTGATAGTGATGTTTCCAGTGTTTAGTAATGCAGATCATAACTGAGTAATAAAATTTTAAGACATTTGAAAATATGAATAGTCTTTGATTTAGAAGAGTCATAAGAAAGAATAAATCCGTATTTTCACAGATCAACAACATGAAGTTATTTAGATTAAATGATACACTTGAGAATTTAGGCTTTTATAGGCCAGACTGTGATAATTCAATTTCTAGAAACTGAACTTCTTTAAAGAGACTAGTCAGGATTAAGGAACTCTGGTGGCGCAGTGCCTCAGGCATTTGACTGCTCACCAGAACATTGGTGGTTCAAACCTACCAGCCACTCACAGACGGAAGATGGGACAATCCACTTTTGTAAAGATTTACCACCTTGGAAACCCATTAGGGGTCGCTACGAGTTGGCATCAACTCAATGGCAGTGAGTTTGGTTTTTGGAGTTTGAGTTAGAGGGTCATGATCTAAATAAAATATTTTGGGGAGGGAATTTTTCTGACTGACACTGTTGGACATAGGATACTGGGGACCCTTCTTTGTCTTTAACTAAAGAGAGAGAGTGCAGAGATGTGTGCTTCCTCTGGGTGGGTCCTGAGGCCTCTCAGCTTGCTCTCCCTGACTGAGCAGGCTCGCAGAGAAATGAATGCACCGATTCATTAAAGGGCATCTTTGAGGCAGTGACACTCACTAATTTGTTCATCAGATATTTGTGGGCCCACCCTGAAGCACTGTGCAAAGACAGCCTCCTGCATAGACTGTTAGCACCCTCGGCCCTAAGCCTCGCCGGTTGACTTTCCGTGGAAATTCTTATTATATGACCCTGTTTTGTGGCTTGC